CAATGCAACATGTCACCACACAAAGAACGGGCTACACAATAGGATTAGATACACTCAAAGCAACGGACAAGAACAATACATGCTACAATGCAATCACATGCATTAAGCAACCACGACACTTAAAGACGAAAGAGTTAATAAATTTATTCAGTCCAAAGTTCTTAGAACAAAGTTTAAATGGTACTCTTTCAGGAATCACTCACTCAAAGTCCGGCGCTGTTGTCGATCCACTGCCCCCAAGTGTTCTTCCAGGAAACCTCGCGTCTTCCAGTGTCTGCACTCCAAGCACCGAACTTCTTTGCCTGAAACGCTACGGCTTGTCACGCGCTGCGATTTCAGGACGAGTCTTCGCTCTCTGGCAGGAGACACACTCTTCTTCTGCTTGTAGCACAAGCCTTCACCCTTCAGGTGGAAACCCTCTTCACCTGCTTTGTCACTGACGATAAAAGCCTTCGCCCAACGGTGGGACAACTTTACGCACACTGGCGCAAAACTTCTTTAATCTCCGGCTTTGTCATTGAGGACAAAAGCCTTTGCCCACACGGCGGAAAGACCCTACGCACACTTGCACAAAACTTCCTTCGTCTCCTTCCTACGCACACTGGCGTGAACTGTCATCTCCTGATCACCACTCTCTGCTGCTTGCCTAAATACCTTCGTGTTAGGTTCTAGACATTTCTAATCGTTTCGTCAGCACACAGCACGGCCAAGGCTGAGGAAAGGGCAAGCCTTCACGAGAAAAATCTGCGATGCATGACGCAACTCTGCATTGCCACGCCCCTTTTCTTCTATATTTTTTCTGCGATCTCTTGCCGACCGATGTGAGGAGGTTGGTCAGCATAGCGGTGTGTCCGAACGGGAGAGTCTGCACGCCCAAGGAGTTTTTTGATGTTTGTTTTCTTCCTTAACGCTGGCTTCGGAGCGACTCTTTGGCGCCTAGTATCGTCACCGTCGCCAGAAAAGCTAGCTTTACAGACATTTGTCCACCCGCAGCTCGAATACGCCTCTCTGCAGAGGCATACGCAATATTATTGGCCATCAAACATACCAAAGAAATTAATTTGGCAGAAGCTGTGATATATACTAACACTCTAAGCGTAGTAACAACCCTGAAAACCCTTAAAGAACACACAAACTCTGTCCTTGTGTTTGTTTACCCACTTTTATGCACGAACTATGCTAAGAAACGATATGTCGTAGTCTGCTGGGTGCCCGGATACCGCGAGATTCAAGGAAAGGTGTTGGTGGATCAACTAGCTGTTTCCGCCCACGAGAATGCCGTCGTCAATACATCTGTAGCGGTCCCTGCACTTGACCTCAAACCCTATCTTAACCGAAAGCTGAGAGATAATTGGCAGTGACTGTGGGACACACTAACACAGAACAAACTTCACCTCATTAAACCACGTCTCGGGAATTGGCCGCCAGTTTCGAGATCACGACACACAGAAGTCACACTAACCAGATTAAGGATAGGACACACACATAGTACTCACTCACACCTTTTGTTCGGTGGTGATCCACTCACCGTGCTTCATGTTTTAGTAAAGTGCACAGAATCATACACACTTAGAAGAAAACACTTCCGGGTTTCCTTCCACTATCAAATTCCTTTGCACCCTTCAATGTTTATAGGTAGGGGACCGCTTTCTAGTTATCAATCACTGTTTGCGTTTTTAAAGAATGTCAAGAATTTTAGCGTCACATTTCCAGGCATCCCCGTAGCACGACCTCTCGGAGTAGAGGTTGCTGCTGCGTTGGAACATTAAAATAGCACCGGCCTCGTTACCCTTATCCACAAGGGCAATCGGTGAGGCATTTGTGCTTATGGCATATAGCGAATTATAAATTCAACGAACACTGCCATTGATCTGTGTTGGAAGCATTTCATGCCACCCTCATGATTTTAAATACATATATCTTTTACCCGCCTTAAAGTGTAGAGCAGTAGTTCTCAAATGGGGGTTCGCGAAGTTATTTCTATGATCCGCGAAACCCTCACTTTTCTTTAAGCGTGACTGTGCCACCTATTCATGAATTGTCCGAAATGAAGCGATGTGGCACATTTATTGGTGTTTTTGATAGCGCTAGAGGGCCCCTGTTTCACGCTCCGGTTGTGTTATTTGCCTACGTACACCCCTCCTTCCTCCCCTCCGCTGCAAGGGATCCCCCATCACTTCCACCTGTCCACAAGGTGTCCCCGACACATCCATGGCTGGGAACCACTGGTGTAGAGTTTTAGGCCCCTATACAGCCATGTAACAACCTCATAGTTTGCATCTTTCACATGTCACCGCAAACCACACATTAATGCTTCTTTAATGTAATTATTCCTGGCACTCTTTGGCGAAGTATGGCCCTTGCGCCAATAAAAAGCCACATATCATCGAATACGCCTCTCCAATATGGTCATCCTATCATAATAAGTTCATCACTGTGTTCGAATCGGTACAAAATAGGGCCGCTAGGTTTATCTCTCATAACTATACTTACAAATCTAGCATCTCGCATATAAAACAAGATCTCTCATTTTCTACACTCAGTACTAGTCAGGATTTTGCGCTCGTGTCATTGTTTCACAAGTACATTTATTCTGATAAGCAGTCTTCTTTCAGGCTTGAAGTTTCCCCTTGCACATCTCGCAGATTACATAATCACCTAAGTTTCACTAGCATGTACAAAAGCACTCACGTAATCATTTCGTCAGCGCTTCCTCGTGCTATCTGATTGTGGAATTCACTTCCGGATTCTATTGTATCTGAAAAAAATCCTGATAAATTTTTCACTCATCATTTCGCACTACTCTGCACAAACTTCTCAAAATGTACTTTTTTCTCCCTTTTTTTTTTTCTGTGCATTTTACAAAATGTATCGTTTCATATTCTTTCTATTCTGTTTTAATGCGGTGACCTACTCTTTTGCTTCTTTTCTTCATTATTAACCACGACTTTGCTGTGTTGCAAAGCTATGTGCATAATTTCATTCATTTCACCCTGTATAATAATAAGTATTCACTATGCATGATAATTTTTTTGGATGCCCCCCTTACCCAATGCCTTAACGAGGCCTTTAAGGAATATTTTAAATAAAAAAAAGTCAGTGGGTTCTGGCGAGAATCTTGGGATCAAATTAACTGTAAAGACCAGAGTGTACCGGTTATAAGGCGTACGTAAAAGTGCTCGATGTCTACCATAATTATAGTGTAGTGTGATTTATAAAGTGTCACTATACTATCACTCGTTCTAAGCAGTGTATGTTGTGTGCTCATTGATCAGCTGTGGCAGTCAGCCTGCATTATGGCTAGCCCTTTTTGCACCTCCAACTTCAGTGCTTTTCACCGGGAGTTCAGATGCATAAGAAGATAAGATCAGTGTAGAACATCTCAGTTACTTTGTTTGTGGATTTCATTAAATGCTTCAGCAAATGACTGTGACAAAGTGCAGGCAGTGATTGAAGACCCATACCAACAAGTCACATAAACAGGGTTGAACATGAATACGCAGAAAAAGATTTTATAAGGAGGCCCAGCAAGAGAACAAAAGCTTGGCAACTGTATTCTAAGATCCGTGCAAGAATATGTGTATGTAGGTCGGATATTAAAAGGTTGAGCTTATGCATGCAAAGGAAATTCACCAAAGAATAAGAATGGGCTGGAGTGCTTATGGCATGCATTCCCAAATAATGAGAGCCAATTTTTTGCTGTCCCTAAAGTGGAAAGGGGATAACTATTGTATTATACCATTTCTAATGTATGGGGTAGAATCTTGTAGGATAACTAAGTCTAGAAGTAGTTCAGCATGCACCATGCAATGAAACAGAAATTATGCATAGGGTCAAGACACAGGAAAGGGAGCAAGGTGGATCAGAAACTAGCCGACATCTTCTCTGACATCAAGAGAGAAAAAAAAAAATGATTTGGGCAGATCATTTCACAAGAACGAAGATAACTGCTGGTCAGTTAAGGCGTTAGAATGTATACCTAAAAATAGGAAGCATAGCTGAAGATGGCTGGTTGGGTGATTGATATAAGAAATCTTTAGGCATGAAATAGAATCAGCTTGCAAAGGACAGGACAAATTGGACGTTTGGCACTGGCCTTCAAGCTGCATTGAACACTAAAATGGTTCTGAAACACATTTTAAAGTAATCAATAATCATGGAATTGGTTTGCTAAAAAAGCTCATTTCCTCGAGAAATTGAACGCCAGAAATATTATAAGAATCTTTTCAGCACTAGCGGAGTTTCAAAGATATGTCTCGTGCTGCAAATTCATTCTCTCTTTTCTTGTCCCGACAAAAGCGCTGGAAGCTGAGCAAGGGGTGATGGCTTAGGCAAAGAAAACGCATCGTGCGTGCCTCTTGACTTTGAGAACTTTTCTTTTTTTTTCTAATTCTCGGCTTTTGAAGTGTGATCGCATGTGCATGCGTGGACAAGTTGAGGCCTCCCGCAGGAATCTCTGTAACAACCGAGCACGCCATAATAAAATCAGCCAATGGCTGATAAAAGGCCTTCTACGAGTAATATTTGAGCTTTCTCTGTCATTGGTCGAGAGAAGAGGAAGCAGTTTTTAGCTGACTATGAGAACTTTTGTGAAATAAAGGCCGCATGCTGCACTATAATATTTGGCTCGCATGTTCTCGGGAGCCTCTCCTATCAATCGGCCTCATTTTCTGACCATGCTCAAAAAGTATCGCGGGGCCCCTTTAAAACTTTCGATGATTGTTAGGACTTCAATGGTAAAGCTTGTCTGAGGTACCACGTTGTATTGCTGCCATCAGCTTTCTCTGAACTCTAAGCAACTATAAATTGTGTGACTTCAACTTAGCAGCTGAATTTTAGGCAAAAGAAATAAAAAAAAAAAATCAAAGTGTTGCCTTGTCTGCCGTTCAAGTTAACCACTGCTGAACAGCACAAAAGACAAAGAAAATTGACTGTCCTTTTATAGTGAGACGTTTCTAGTAATGCCACCTGTAACAAAACTTTGCCTCCTTCTTGCCCAGGAATGGAACATGGGCCAGAGGGCATCTGACACTCGGGGAGTTACCTTTGAAGATGTCGTCGTTCCTGAAGAGGTGAGCCAGATCAAATAGGATCTTGACAATTTCTTCATTAAAGTCGACTGATTTAAACAGCTTGGCCAGGCCTGGCAAAGTATGAATGTATGAAATTTTCCAGTACGGATGATCAGTTAAAAATTATACTACATTTACCTGACTCTAATATTCCCCTAAATCTAATGTGCATCGGTATCTCAAATTCATTATGAAAATGCACTTGAATGCACTTGAAGCATATTAAACAAAACAATGGCATGCCTTTATGTTGATAAGAACGAAAACTTGTGGTGTTCTTGTTATCGTGACTTGGTCATTCTTACCTATAGACCCCCCCCAGCCACGCACAGGTTCTCTATCCTCTTATCCGTATGTGCCGAACACCACTGTTGGTCCTAGCACTGCGAGCTCCATGCAGGGAGTTGCGTCCTCGTTCGTTTGTCTCATTGCACCTTGTACAGTTAAAACCTTATATAAGAGACAAATAGGTATAAGAGACACTATTTTGCCTACAGTAAAATACGGGTTGACAAAAAAATGCATATGAGATACCCTGCTTATAAGATACATCTCATATAAATGACAAGAACTGCTACCCACAGCATGCCTCTTATAAAGGGGTTCAACTGTATTCCATCCATACTGCTGCGCACATGAGCTCGGACCATCACCACAAAACGATGGCAAACCAGCGCGCACCGTAAGGGAGACCCCAGGTGACGCTCTCCAAATGGTTAGTTTATTACTGGGAATTCAGTACAGTGAGATCAATCATTCGATAGAGCCAGTCTAATAGGTAACATAATTGTACAGGACACCAATTGGCTAATATCGTATTTACTTGCATAATAGGCGCACCCTCAGTTTGGTCGCAAGAAATCAGAAATTTTAAATTTCTGTGCATACAATAGGCACACGTCGAACTTGGTTGTGATTGGTAGTTTTGTACCGTATTAGCACGGTTGCAATTTGACACCCTCTTACATTAACAGAGGGTAGGAAAGAAAAAACGTCCTCGGCAGCGCTGCGCCCACTTCGCGAGCTCGCCGAGTGTGGAAGAAGGGTCGTTGCCAGGGCATGGTGTAACCTTTGCACCGACGTGTGGGTGTAGCTCCGGCTGCTAGCTGGCAGCGCGCGCTCCTTATGAAAGACGCAATCACGTCCTCATCGAGTGTGCATTGCGTTTCCTGTCGAAAAAAACGTCGTTATCACGTTTGCTACTTCGTCGGCAAATTCAATAGCTTTTCCGCTTTCCAACGCGACCTTTCACCTTTGCTGCCACTATGCAGACTCGCACAAGCTCAATGGACTTTTGTCGCCGTTAATTTCCTGGCCGTGAACTTAAACATCCTATTAAGCACACTGCTCTTGGATCAGTGCTGGAGTGCGATCTTTTCGATGCCCAATCTTCATGTTGTCTTGTACAAACTTCCCGCGACAATATGTCGAACTGCAGGCAAGGCCTAATCGCTGTTCGTGCTTTTCGGTAGCAGTTGCGGGCGATAATGTTGCAGTTTTCTACGGAATCAACGTAACTCTTTTTCGTGGCTCTACTTGAAGGAATGGGGGCTAGGTAGGCACTTGTAATACTCGAATGGTAGTTCGCGATTCGATTGCAATGTCTTGGATCTGGGGTGCAAGCCTGTAAAGTCGAATGATCGGACCTCTCAGCACACAAGTAATCTGTGTGGCCTGAAAGTAATTGGCGAATTCCCATGATGGTGCTTTCATTTAGTAGTTTTTTTTTTGCATTCATTTCATTCGCAACGCAGTTCTTCCGGTTTTTAATTTTTGAAAATTTGAATGCATCGCCTGCCTCGATTCTTGGACACTCGAGACTGCATGCTCAACATGTTTTGCACTAGTAAAGCCTGTGAAGGTTGTTTTGGCTGTAGCATGGATATTCGTGACTTCAGCTATGTATATACAGTAAAAGCTAGTTAATTTGAACCGCAAGAGGAAGCCGCCTCAGTTCGAATTAACGAAAGTTTGAACTAACGAAAGTGAAGAACAATCGTACACTGCGAGTAGGGCATAACAATTTATTTTTTGAAAACATCTGTGATCGCGGTCTGCCCTCTTTCCTTGAAGGCGACAGCCAGCACTTTTTGCTCTAACGAGCGAATTTGGCAGAAGGTCTTTTCTCCGCCTTCTTCAAAACTTAAGAAAAGACTGGCGACATTCGATCCGGCCACGACTTCCGCAGCAGAGGGCCGCACTGGCGCTTCGTCCTCCTCTTCTTCATCGTCACTGGCAGCGACAGGTTTTGCACTTCTCACCTGACATATTATGTCGCCATCCGTGAGTGCACCACACACCACTGCACTTGAGTCCACATCGACATAGTTCGCAAAGCTGACGTCTTCCAAAACGTCCGCCATAGGGGCGGTGACACCGTGTTCGAGCACTGGTGGCTCGTCAGCTTGCAGAGCTTCGGTGCTGAAGCCACAGTGGCGAAAGCAATTTGCTATCGTAGGCGCTGTCACTTGCTCCCAAGCACACACAAGCATGTGTAGTGCACTTAGGACCCTCACTTGGTAGTTATTGCACAAAATAATTCGTTCCAACATATGACGCTGATAAAATGATTTTAAATTTCTAATTATACCCTGGTCCATGGGCTGCAGTACCGCTGTCGTGTTTGCTGGAAGGAAGGCCAGCTCAATGGCCTTCGTCTCAACATTGACTTTATGAGTCGAACAGTTGTCCACAAAAAGCAGGGCTTTGCGGCCACAGCGTTCGAACTTCTTGTCAAGCTTTCCCAGCCACTGCGCGAACAATATCCCCATCATCCAGGCCTTTTTGTTGGCCGCGTAGTCTGATGGGAGGGAACGGATGTTCTTGAAGCAACGAGGACTTCTCGATTTGTCTATCAGAAACAGAGGCAACTTCTCGGTCCCGGTCATGTTCGCAGCAACCATCACAGTTATCCGTTCTTACTTTTCTTTCCTCCCGTGCACTTGTCGCCTTTACACGGGATAGTTTTGGCGGGCAGCAATTTGAAAATTAAGTCAGTTTCATCCTCATTAAATATGTCCTGCGGAGAATACTTCTCCATGTAGCCTTGAAGCACTTCGGAGCGCCAACCTTCACACGTTTCCATGTCAACAGCGTTCATTTCAGCCGACACAGCACGGAAAACGAGGTTGTAGTGCTCGCGAAAACAGTGCAACCACCCATCTGAAGCAGCGAAGTCGTCATAGTCTAGCTGCAGGGCGAAGTCTGCTGCCTTTGTCAGTGTGACTGGGCCACTCAGTGGTATGTCCTGCGAACGCATTTTCTTTATCCAAATGATAAGCGCTTTCTCGAGGTCAGGATACTTTGCGGGCCGCAACCTCCTCCTTTTGCTCGCAACTTCTGCCTCTAAGGCGTCTTCAATAGTCTTCCTATTTTTTATATAAGTAGATAGCGTCGTTTTTGGTATCCCATGCTTTTTCGCGATATCTTGCTTAGGCAAGAGTCCGGTGTCCACTTCCCGCAGGATATCAGCTTTCTCCTGAAGTGTTTTGGCACGATATTTGCCGCGGGCACACGCCATCAAGTCGGGGCAGCAGAATTGGGACAGACGGGAAGCTACTACCGCCGCTATTGCAACAAACGTTAGCCGAGGCCTAACACCAACACAAAGAATCGCGACAGTCGGAAGCTACTCCCAGCACCAACGACCGAGGTGTATGACGCACGCCCGAGACAGAGACTGCAGAGAAGGCTGGGCGAAGCTACGACGCACCCGATTTGCTGTGTGCTCGTCATGCCATCTGTCGTCTAAACGCGACAACTACGCAGGATTTTCAAAGGCTCCGAGATTGGCGCTTAAAAAAAAAAAAACAAATCTTGGAGGTTTCGTAGGACGGAGAGCAGGCAGCCGCCGAGAGAGAGAGATTATGGGGGGAGGGGGGTGAGGAGTAAGTGGCGCTATTTTCCGCACTCTGGCCTCCATGCCAGTTTCTCCGTTTTTCTCTCCGCTCCCTGTCAACGCCGCCTCGTAACTCGGCAGCCGCCCTATCGAGTGACTAGCCAAGCCGCTGGTGCGGTGGCGTGTAGTTCGAAATATCCGCGGCGAAACCTACTCGCGTTCGAATTAACGGGCCTTTTTATTCATAGGCTTGTATGGAGCTTGGCCGGACCATAACTTACAGTTCGAATTATCCATAAATTCGAATTATTGAAGTTCGAATTAACGAGTTTTCACTGTATTATCAGCGGTTTATGCTGTAGTCGGCAATAAAAGTTTTGGAAATTTCACCCCACGTAATAGATGCACCCTGAACTTGGAGCCAGATTTTTGGGAATAAAAGTGCGCCTATTGTGCGAGTAAATACGGTACAAGCTATAAAAATGTATCGAATAATGGCTGCAAATGGTGCACTTTTCAAGAAAACAAACAAAGAACCAAGTTTGAAGAGCCAGCCCACCCTTCAGCCAGCACTTCTGCAATCACGCATCCGCAGAGCAAAAGAAACAGAACAGAAATAGGAAAAGTTGAGAGGGACATATGGTGCATGATCACGACCCACTGCCTTGGGACTTCGAGATCGCGGGAAAGGGCTTGTGCTCGTCGAGACAACATAACCACCAGCCGGCGATGAAGAACGAAGGATCACCACTGGCCGGAAAGGCCAAAACGCATACACACTCTCTGAAGTCCCGAAGTAGTCTCCTCGAACCCTGTCTCGTGCCCCTGCTTGTCAGGCGAGTGCAAACAAGGCCCGAATCCCGCCAAAATTAGGCCAATGGGATACCGTGTCAAACCTTCGAGGGGTGGGGTGACAGCGAAGTAGTGTCGAGCAACTGGTGCAGGTGCCTGGATTCCCATGAACTAGACAAGCAAATCTAGCCATCACTGAATGCAGTTTTCTTTTTTTCTTCTTGGCAATTCCTTCTCATATGTGATCTAGTTTTCGGCTTTATTAGGAGACTTTGGTATATGAAAAAAAATTGATTTTCATGAGAACAATAAAAATGAAGCCTGCACTCGGCCGCACAAGACTTAATAACGGCAAAGCTGGTCGATCCAA